CTAGGTGTGGACAATGGGTCTATATTGGGTTTCTGGCTTCATTGACTTTCTTTCTTTGAGGTCAGTTTCTTCATCTCAAAATGAGGAGATATTTTGTACCAGATGTCAAGTATCAGTTCTAGCCTTTCCTTCTGGGACTGGGAATAAAACAGGAAAAAAAAGGAAGGAACAGTTCGGGAGTGGTTGCGACTCAAAAGAAAGATGGGAGCTGAGCCTCCTGAGTGGGAGATTGTTCACATCTTCACAGTGGCATCAGGGACCCAGACATAATAGAGGGGTGAAAAGATCACTTCTACATCTTGTATGAGACATCAGATGAGTAATCTGAGGGCCAAAGAGCTTTAAAAAAACTCACATAAGGCCACACAAGTAACAAGCAGGAGAGCATTATTCACTCCACCACGAAGATGATGAGAGAATTTACCTTCATGTGCCAACTCTAATAGATTGACAAGGGCTTTGTGGAGTGTCACTTAGAGGAAAGAGTCCATGATTGATTAGCAATGTCTGTCACAGGTTTGGGAATACGAAGTAGCTGCACATACCATATATTTGCCAGCTATTGATTCATTCAGTAAGTCTTTATTGAGATCTTACTTCATGAAAGGCACTGGTCCTTATGTTGGGGGTTCATTGGTAAATAAGAAAAGCCCCTACCCTCAGAAAGCTTGCATTCTAGAAGGCGAGATAAGTAATATACATTTAAACAAATAGCTAAACAACATAATCTCAGCTAGTGCTAAGTAGTATAAGGATAGTACTTCTAGTACAATAGGAGAGACAGTGTTGGTGTGGGGAAGGGGAGATGATCAAGGTGGTCAGGGAGATGACATTTAAGCTGATACCTAAGTTCCAAGAAGGAAGCATCCTTAGGAAGGGCTGGGAGAGGAAATAGGCAGTGCAGAACTCTGAGGTGGGACCAACAAGGGTCAGACAGAGCAGAGCTGAGGCAGATTAGGAGAGCTAGGGAGGGGGGTCAGTGGAGGAAGTGGGAGTATGCCTATGTGAGTGTTTGCTAGACTTCCCAAATTTAGCTAGTCCAGAACAAAACCCTCCATCTCCATCTGCATCACCTTGTCACCCCCATTCCTCTGCCCATACTAAATTTTTCCCTTCCCTTCTCCATACATGAGGCTACACCATTGTTACAGACCATTGTTACAACCCCAGCCATGTCAACATCACCTCTTACCTGGACTTCTTCTCTGATCTCTTTGCCTCCACCCTGGTCCTCGACAAAAGCCCCCAAAGCACTCATCAAACCAATCCCACCATCTATTTCTGATCCCAAACACACACACACTCTCTCTCTCTCTCTCTCTCTCTCTCTCTCTCTCTCTCTCTCTCTTGTGGTGCTGGGAATTGGACCCAGGGCCTTATGCATGTGAGGCAAGCACTCTACCAACTGAACTCTCTTCCTCCACTTTTGTCCTTTTTGCAACCATCCCAACCCTTAAACTAGGGCAGATACTTCTGTTTCTAAAAGAGTCTGGAGTTGGTCACAGCCACAGGACCATCAAGCTCTAATTCAATTCATACACATTCCTCTAGTTGTCCCCAAACTGACCGTGCTGGCAGAGTGGATCTGAGGACTGGGTATTAATTATCATAGGGATTATTTATTAGACCCCTGCAGTGCTCCTGGCTCCAGGGCCAGAGCATTACAACAGCCCTGCCAGGGAGGTGTGTTTATTATCCCACTTTCATTCATGGAGAAACTTGGTCTCAGAAAGTTCAGCCTCTTATTATAGATTCCCACAGCTCTTGAGTGGCTGGGCCCAGTTTGGACTCAGGTCCCTTTGATGCCAAAGCCTAACCTCTTGCTTCTGCATCAAGAGTCCTCCTCCACGAAAATGGGCAAAAGATGAAACTCGGAGATTTAGAGAGAGAAAGTCACCTTGACCTCAGCCTGGATGTCTCTCCTTCATTCCAAATTCCAAGGTCAGAGCCTGTGTCTGGTTCCTTGGAAACTTCTCAAGGTAAGAGGATTAAGACCTTTGCCCACCTAGCCCCAGAGAAACAGAGCCCTGTCCTTCTATCTGCTCCCCTCCCATCCCCACTTGTTCCAGGTGGTCACCTTTTTATACGGGGCTGTTGTAGCCAGCATCCAAGTGCTCTCCCCCCTGTCGGCCTCTTGATCAGGAAGCATTCCCGTGGGAACCATGGTGCCAACATCCGGTGGGGACAGGCCCTCCGTTACCTGCAGGCCCTACTGCCTCTGCTATCAGGCCCAAGAACAAAGGAGCTTGGTGCCTGCCGCCTGGCTGGCTGTATTTGTCCAGGGTGAGGCTTAGCCTGGCACAGATGCTGAGCAAACAGGAGTGTCGGCCTGATGGATCCGCCTTGCAACCAGTAGGGCTTGAGCTGAAAGGTGTTGCTGCCAGGCCACCTGCTGCAACATCACCCTGCTCAACCCCAACCAGCACTCCAGGGCAGAGAGGATGATAGGGCAAGGGGCCTCAGGATTAACAGCTTTATAATTGAGAGTTGAATAAGATGACCTCCAAGATCCTTTCTGTGGTCTAGAGCCTTGAGTGATGTTTCTGGAAGCCTCTAGGGCTTAAGAACAGGTCTGTGAAGTAGAAATGCCTGAGTTGTGGAGGTGGAATCAGGGCCTCTGTATTATGGCACTCCTCCACCCCAGTCCCATGCACCTACACATGCCTCTGTTTCTGGCCAAGAGAACTGACCTCTCTCAGAGCAATGCCCTTGAGCACTGGATTCATTACTTCATCCACCTACTCATCCACTCCTACTAGAGTTTTGCAGGACTGGAGTCCCAGGGTACTTCTTGGTCAGAGGACTAAGTGTGTCCATCTGGTTTCAGAGGCCATCTAGAATCTGTCTGAGCCCAGGAATTCTGAGGGATGGTGGAGATGTTTTTCCAGTTAGGACACTGAAAGGCTGTATGGTGATAGTGACTCTAGAACTTAGTGTGCCTCAGAATCGACTGCTTATTAAATTGCAGAACTATGGATTCCACCCCAGAATTCTGAGTTCCATCATGCAAGGTGGGGTAGGATAGCTCAGGAATCTGAGTTTTTAACAAGCACCTGGGTGCTCCTTAAGGTCTCCCATAAAGTAGAAGGTATATGTCTAAAAGCTATACAGTACTAATGCCCAACGTGGTGGCACATGCCTGTAATACCAGTGGCTCTGGAGGCTGAGACAGGAGGATCACAAGTTCAAAGCCAGTCTCAGCAACTTAGCGAGGCCCTAAGCAACTCAATGACACTCTGTCTCTAAATAAAAAAGGGCTGGAGATGTGGCTCAATGATTAAGTACTCCTGGGTTCAATTCCTGGTACCAAAAAATAAAATAAAAGCTACAACCTGGGTTGAAATCCTACCTCTGCCTCTTTTTACTGGTGTGAGTTGGGGCAAGCCACTAAGCCTTTCTAGATGTCAGTTTTTCTGTAAAATAAGGCTATGATAACACCTACCTCTGAAGAAGTGTGAGCTATTGTTTCAGAGTGTTTATTACACTTTGTAAATGTTTGTGGAATGAACTGGGCAGAAGTCCATTTGCGCAAACCAGAAACCTGTGCATTCTCTTTGATGTCTCCATCTATTCATCTACCTCATCACTCTCTACCACTGAATCACAAATTACTGCAAACTCTACATCCTTGATACCTTTTTATTGGAGGAGGGTGCTGTGGACTGAATCCAGCAGTGCTCTATCATTGAGCTATATCCCCAGCCCTTTTTATTTTATATTTTTTGCAACAGGGTCTTGATAAGTTGCTGAGGCTATCCTCAGACTTCTGATAGTGATAGTGATTCTCCTGCCTCAGCCTCCCTGAATATCTGGGATTAAGGTGTAATTCCTAAATACATGTTAAATCTGCTCTTTTGTTCTTCCTCACAGCCACTACCCTAGTCCAAGCCACTATCTTCCTCTCCTTATCTCTGTAGAGCCTCCTCACTGTCCTCTGAGATTCCACCTTTCCCTCTGCCCAAACTCCCCAAAGCAGTCATTTCATCTGGTAAGGTAATGCCCCTGCTTCAAATCCTAGCTCTCAGGAAGGTCTTATGAGTCCAATAAAACAGATTCCCAGGCACCCCCGACACCCCACAGCTGGTTCCCAGCCTCATTTCCATCTTTACTGTATACCCAAGCTACCTAAATTTCTTTCTGATTCCTCCAGTATTTCTTGCCTCCAAGTCATCACACAAAGTGCATTTTCTCTGCCTGGGACAGCATCCCTACCCCCCAACACACATCATTCATTTACTACTCATCTTCCATATTTCCACTTAAATGTCATTTCCTCAGGACCAGACATTAGTCTTGCCCCTTACTTGTGCTCTGGGAAACTTCTTTCTTTACAGTAATGCTCCTTAAGCTCTACTGTGATGACTTGGTATCTGCCTCCACCACACAGCTGGCTCTAGTATAACACAAACCTGTCTTACCCATTGCGGTAGCACTGTCAGTGACCGGTCTTTAACACATTGTGAATGCTTAAAAGTATTTTTGAATGAACGATTAAATGCACGGCMGAATGAATGAATAAACCATCTAGAAGACCCTGGTCACGGATCTGCTGCTGAGAACGTCCCCCCGCTGGTGGCTGAGTCTGGGGTCTAAACGTGCCTGGAGAAAGACGGCACAGCAGGCCACAGGGGGGCGCCCCCAGCTCATTCTATCTGCTCCGCTCCTCCTCGGACTCAAGTTGGTTACTAATCGCCAATGGGAGACAGGGGGCAGGGTTCTTCCTCTGATGGACAACATCGCTCCACCCCATCTAATTCATCTTTTCCTTGGCTCCGCCTACGCCAGGCCTCCGAGACCCCCGAGGGTGGGCCTGATGGAGGTGCCGCCAACTGAACTCCAGCTGAGCGCTCCAAGGCCGAACCAGCGGGCCGGGCGGTCTGTGAGTGGGCGGCAGGTCTCTGGGGGAGGGGCTGCGGCGTTGACGGGCAGGCGGGCGGTCCCGCCCCTCTCGCCCAGAGCGGCCGCGCCAGAGCTGGGGACAGCAGAAGTGAGTACGTGAGCGGCGCAGCAAGAACCCAGCTCGGACCCCGGACGGAGAGCCCACCCGGAGACCCGGATCTGAGTCGGGCCCCCGGCGGACTGCCGGATTACTGTGCACCTCGAACCACGACCACCTGCTCCCTCCTGCCTCCCGGAGTCCTCGGCATCCGGCCACCCTGCGCCCCGGATCCTCCTGGACCGGTCGGTCCGGATTCCCGCGGGACCGACCTGCCCGCATCCCTCAGGATCGCCGGGCTCGGGGCGCCGCCTCGGTCCCAGAACCGCCCGCCTGGATTGCACCCCTTCTTACCCGGGTCTCCTGGGACCGTAAGCCAGCCTACCCACGAGCCTGCCAAGCGGACCCTCTCTCGGGTGCACGCAGCCCCGCCGGCACGGCCCGGCCCGGCGCGGCCCGGCTCGGCTCCAGGAGTCGCCCCGGCCATGGCCCGAGCCCGCCCGCCGCCGCAGCCGTCGCCGCCGGGGCTCCTGCTGCTGCTCCCTCAGCTGCTGCTGCTGCCGCTGCTGCTACTCCCCGCCGGCTGCCGCGCTCTGGAAGGTGAGCGGCGTCGGGGGGCGCGCCCGGGATAAGGTGCCGGGGGTCGCCAGAGCTCTGGCCCGGTAGGTCGCGCGGTGTGGGTCCATAAGCGCTGAGCGCACGTCGGAGGAGGCTTTGCCGCCTGCGCCCGCCTCGGGGCTGAAGGATGGGTGGGGAGGACGCCCCCAGAGCCGCCTCGGAGGTTGGAGCTGACTCCGCTGCCGACCGTCTGCGGGTTGGGGGATTGCGAGCAGCGGAACTCGGGATGAGCGTCCCCGAAAGTGATGGTCTCGCCTTGAGCTTTTGTGGGAGTACCCCTCACTCACCACAGGGAAACAGGGCCCAAGCACCTCCCAGCGGCGAGGAAGAGTGGGCGACCCATCAGACGAGGCGGGGGCTGCGGGTATGTGGAGGGTGGGGGCGAAGCGGGACTCCCCAGGTTGGGGGGAGGTGGCACCGGTTAGGAACCCGCTGGAGTTAACTGTGAGAGTGTGAGTGCGTGTGCACCCCGCTTTGTCAGGGGATGGCTGCGGGGGTGGAGAGGCGGGGGCCTGTTATTGTTTATGGTTTACCGAGCTACAACTACACACGAGGTGCTGTGTGCACGGGGGTTGCATCCTTCTCTAAGGCTATCCCTCCACCTTCTGGCAGGACCCTTTGAGAGCTTGCTTGGATTTCATTGAACCCCTGAAGCAGCGGGGCTCTGCCCCTGTAGCACCGAGGCTGGGTGCGCTACTCATTAGCCGATGGGAAAAGGCCGGGCTTCTCCGTGGGTTCTGTGAAATCTGCCAAGACTGCCGCTGAGGGGGTAGCTCCAACTTCCAAATAATTGTTCTTGGATGAACAGCCCGAGTGTAGTTGGCCTTGGCAGGCGAGCTCACACGCATGCCACTTGACACCAGCCTCCCAGGGCCAGAGGCACCAATGCAGATCACAGACAATAGGGATGCACACATATAATACCCCCTTTTCCAAAATAATGTGTAGTTATAAAATGAAGGGTGGAGCCTTCCTTAATATATATAGAGAGAGACACCCCCAGAAATTTGGAAGAAATTGGAATATAGACAGTAGTGTTTGGCATTTGTATCTAGTCACTTTCTTAGTTTAGGAACAAAAACCATGAATTTTGTGTAACTTGGTTCTTTTCTGTTCACAATAGGTAAACTTAAAGGTTGGAAGGAAAAATCTTTAACACAGTTTGAGAGAAGGCATCTGCTTCTGATGCTTTCGAATTTCTCCAGGGGAAAAATGTTCCTATAATCTCCCACCCCCTTTTATCTCTGAGCCCACTGTGCTGACAGATAGATTCACACGGGTGGACACATGCAAATTCAGACAGGCACACTGAGGTCTCGCCCACACTGGCGCACACTCACCCACATGTGTGTGATAGGATCGCAGGCGTGAGAAACCAGTGTGGGGCTTTGTTGTTGATTGCCTTAAGGGTGTGAGCCAGGGAGCCTGCTTGAGTTCCCAGGTTTTTGTCTGTCTTAGTCCAGAAGAGGTGACATTGACACACTCAGACATGCACTTATGGAGCTGTGTGTCACCTGTGTCAAGTCCATGACCCCTGTGGGGTGTGGTGGGTGCTAGTTTGGAGTGGGGGTGTGGTTTGGGTCTGGTGAGCAAGGGCTRCCTGGGAGGGCTCACCCCTTCCTCCCTCACTGCATCCCTCTTCCTATCCCTTTCTTCCTCCTTTCCATTCCTCATAATCTCCTAGATCTGTCCCCACAGGCAGGTCCTAGCCAGAAGCTGGTGTCCAAGCCTCCTAGGCCATGGAGCTGGTGGACTAAACTAGAGATATCAGCTGTAACAGCCCAGGAGGAGAGGGCATTAGGACCATTTGCTTGCTGAAACAGTAAAGTGGGAGTCAGGGCTAGCCCCAGGCTGAGACCAGATTCGCGTAGGGTGCCCCTAGAAAGTAGCAGTGCCTACAGTGTGGCTTTCACCATGGCCCTCGCTTTTGAACACCTCAGACCCTGTAGTCTTTAATTTGTGTGTGGGAGAAAAGGAGGTGCAGTGTGCTGACCCCTACAGCCAGGACCAGACCTTGGACCTACAGAGCCTTCGGTCCTCCCTCACTATGAGATGATAATGGTACCAACCTCACAGAGTTGTTGTGAGGATTGAATGGTTTCTATGTGTAAAGCACTTAGCACATCCTCATTGTTATTCAAGGATTAGCTGTTGTTATTATTATTGTTTCTATTATTACCCTAGGGAGGTTGGGAAGGGATTGGAGGAAGAAATGACTAAGGGAAGACTGGTCTGGAAGGATGGGGTGAGCTTATTTTCCTGAAGCTCCAAGAAGGGAAGGGATGGGAAGAGAGATGGTTTGGTGGTCTCTTGTCTGTACTCCACCCTTCTTCTGGGACACGGAGACTTCCAGCTCCTGGGCTGTGTCCAGTGGGCAGAGCTCTGAAGGTATGTAGGTCCCTTAGCACTAAAGATCTCTTAAGCGCCTCACCCCAAAACTTTACAGGAGAGGGATCCAGCTCCCTCCATCCAGTGTTCCATTTGGCTTTGTCAGGATTTGGTTTGCCCTTGGCCTTTCGTTTCTCTGTGACTTGGGTCATTATATTTAGGCCTGGGGTCCCTGAGCTACAGGTGCTGCCCCTCATGTAAAACTAGTCAAAGTTGTCTGACACCTGATTCCTCTTTCTCCCCTACACACTTGGGGTTCACCAAGACTCTGCATCCAAGGATCTCAGTTTTCCATGCAGATGGGGCTGAGGTTTTTCCTTGTTCTCCCTAGTTGAAGAATCACAGCTCCCCTTGCCTTCTAATTGATTACCCCTCCCCCCCCACACACACAGACAAATTGCCCTGGGGTTTACCCACAGACACAGGGACATGAAGCCATCTTGTCGCTCGGTCTCCTTTTGAGTAATGATCCCCAGTTCTGAAGCCAATATCATTCTCCCCTCTGGGACCATGAWTGGGGCCTGGGGAATAGTGTCTGAGCCACAGGGCCCTTACAYCTGAGAAGGGACGGTTAGGTCCCAGCTGGGAACATACCCTTTTGTGAAAAGAGAAACAGTTACCAGATTGTAAGAGGTGGGGCCAGCACCTTCCTCTCCAGCCAAGCCCAGCTAGCAGAGTAGTCACTGCAGTGGAACCTGTCCCCAAGGGGAAAAGGCACTGTGCTTTTCTACCTCTTTCATTCTTGCTGGAGTGACCACTGAGAACAAGAAACTGAGAAGGGACAACAGCCCAGCATTTTTGTGATTTGGTCGCTTTTTTGAGTCACATTTCGTTGTTCCCCCCACACCACCCTATTACTATTTGTCAGGAACTGGCGCCTCAGAGCTGTGTGGAGGTCAGCAGCAGGTATTTGGGGGAACCAGTTTGCTTATTGCTGCCCTCCCTTTAACCCAGGCTGCTGCTCCTGTCACCTCTCCAGCCTCAGTGGCTGTGAGCTGAAGCTGAGGCTGCTGTGGGCAAGGCCTCTGCCACTGGCCTTCCACTAATTAAACAGCACGAAGAGGCTGAATCACCAGGCCTGCATAGTTTGAAAATTGTAGCCCTGCCTGTTGTGCTGAGTCAAACTGGTTTGTCGGGATTGGGCAGTGGGGGGCGGGCAGGTATAGCTGGGCACCTGATGGGGCGGGAGAGGCCCCCTGGCCCAAGGGCTACCCTGGGGCCAGCTTTCCCATGGCCTTCAACCCCCAGCCCCTGAGGAGGCCCACTGTGACCAGCATTGCAGTGAGGGCTGAGAGCTCATGGGAGGACTAGCTGTCCATCCACTTTGACTGGCAGGGCCAGCAATGGGGTCCGTGTGTGCCTGGATGAGCACTGAGGATTTGGGTTTTCCTGGGCTGCTTCTCCCTTCTCCTCCCTCTCAGGCTTATTTAATTATAAATCCCCATAATCTGAGAGGAAGAATAAAAGACAAAGTGTGTTCTCTGTTCTGTGATGCTCCCTTCCCCACTGTCCCAGACATGGGGGCCAAGGGACTGTGGCAGAGGAAGTAAAGGTGGCCCTGGGTGAATTAGGCTCCTTCACAACATACATGTGCTCCAGGTCCTCTAGCCGGGTCCTCCCAAGACCCTTTTCCTCTCAGGCTGTCCACCCTAAGTGTTCAGGCTCCTACAACTATAAGCACATACACATAGTGACATAAGAGGGGTGGGGGGCATGATAGAAAACTGGGAACCAGAGCCCTCTGCTTGGTGGCTGAGGTAGGGACTCCACGTGGTGGTGGTGGGAAGGGGGGGCCCTCAGGGGTGGCTTGGGGTTTTTTCCTTTTCTTCATTGGTGGTGCTCCTGGTTGCTCCTTCTTGCTCAGACCCTGCCCCTCGGTCCTGTCCCTGCACACTCTGCTAGCCCAGCCCTGGAACATGACTTTTTCTGCTACCTCAGAGTCCCTGGTCTGGAGTTTAGGCTGGAGGCTTCTTGCTTCCATCTCCATTTTTATTTTCTTTGTTCCCTGGGTCTCAGTGGCACTCCTGTTCCAGGGTGAGGTACTCTGAGTGACTTGGGGCCTGGAGGTGCAGTGGGGTCTGGCAGCTCCATAAAGTTGTGTGGCCCTGGCCCTTCACCAGGGCATGTGGCAGGATCACAGCTGGTGCCCTTGCACCAAGGTGGCCCAACAAGGTCCTCAGAGGCAGGCCTGTGTACCTACCATGCCCTCCTTATACCACGTCCTTGACTTGTATGTGCAAGAGCTCCTGAGGCAAAATCTCTTCATGGTGCTGCCCCCTCCCCGAGGTCTCTGGAGTCCTCCAGACAGTACCATTGTGCTGGCAGGAAAGTGGCCTGCTGCTTGGGCAGAGGCTATACTGGGGAGGCCGCACCCAGTCACACCCAAAATCATCTTCATGCCCCTGCCCCASCCCCAGCCCCAGCCCCATGACCTGACTGGCAGCTCCTGACTGAGCCAGGTTAACAGGAAGCAGGGCTGGGGCTTGCTCCTTCCCAGTGCCAGTGGCCAAGGCTGCCCCAGTACCTCTGCACTACAAGAGTGGCCTGCCTGACCAAGAGATGTCACAGAGTTGGGACCTGGATGAGGGGCACTGCCCTCTCTCAACTCTTCCTCCACCACTGCAGACATTCCAGATAAAGAACATGCTTGGTGTGTGTGGGGTGTGTGTGTGTGTGTGTGTGTGTGTGTGTGTGTGTGTGGTTTGTGCATGGAGATTCATCTCAGGCTTTACACCAACTCAAACTTTTGATACTTAAACCCGTGTCTCCATACTCCTTTGGGGAGTTGTGGCATGTTCCAGTGCTCCTGGCATCTAATTGTAGTTTTCAAGTAACTGTGTAAGAGCATGTCACCAAGTCTGTATGGGGAAACTGGCCTTTGTGTTTGCACTTTACACTCAGGACTCTCTGCCTCATGCTGGTGATAGTGTGCAATTGGGTGTGTAAGGAAGAGGCACTGTTGGGTTGGGTATGCATTTCCCTAGGAAGGCTGTGAGAACAGGTCTGCCTGAGGCAAGCCAGATCTCTGTGTGAGAAAGCTTCTCTGTAGATGACTGTCTAAGGAAGACTAATCTGTTTGTACCATATGCATCTGTGTGTCTGAAAAAGACAGACTGTGGAGCTGTGTGTGTGTGTGTTTGCGGGTGGCTGTGGCTTTGTGTGTTTTTGTYCACCATATGTGTTGACTTGTCACTCTTTAGCCCCAGTGGTGAAGAACAAGCCCAGCCACTGCAAACTGTGTGCTGTGTGTGCAACTGTGTGCACAGGTGAGAGCCACACAGCTGCTGCCACGTGGCTGCTTTTCATGCCTGTGGTTTGCTCCTGAGCAGCAAAGCCCCAGTTCCAGAAAGACCCTTGTCCTGGTGTCCACATCCCTGGTGACTTTTTGGGGTAGTATGAGCCTTGTGTCTGCGGTGGCCCTCCTCTCTCATCTCCCTTTGCAGCCACCTGGTGGGGTGCAGCAGGTAGCTGGGAGAGTTTGAAGGTTGCTCACTTATTCCTCATTTGCCCTCTGCCCCTGGGCCTCAGCCCCTGTCCCAGCGTGTGCACATATGCACGCACATACACATGCATACACCATGAGAAGAGGTCTCTCCCTCCCTGTGCCACAGTCAGATGGGTTCTGTGACACCCCCACACCTTCCCCTCAAGCCCTTTGGAGGCTGTGACACAGGCAGGGTCTGTGAGGTCCTTGCCTTCCCTCCTGATCTTGGTCAGGCTGGAGAGATCAAGCCCTCACCTCCCCCCAGAAGTGGGGAAACAGAGAGCAAGCAGCCCACCCTCTCCCCACCAGGGTGACCGGAGCCCTTCCTCAGGCACATAGGACTCGAAATCCAAGTCCTCTCCTCATTAATGGGAAAAATGTGCCGAGATTGAGCGATGGCCAAGGCTGCGCGATGGCCAAGGGCCGATCCCCTCCCTCCCTCCCTCGCTCCCCAGAAATTAAACAGAAAAGAAGAGCCTCCTCGCCCCCTCCCTCCCGCGCCACCTCCCCACGTCCCTCCCTCCCCTCCCTCCCCTCCCTCCTCCCAGAGCCAGCGCAGGGCTTGTTTTAAACTGTGGAGGAATCTGGCTGGAGGGGGGAGGGGGCTGAATATTTGGGTTTAAACAGTTCCAGATGGGTTTGGCACAGGCTGAGCAGAAGGAAGTGAAGGAGAGGGAGGAGGGAGGCAGCGCGAGGGAGCGGTGGGAGCCCTTGCCTGCTCCGGCGGGCGGGCGGGCAGCAGCAGCAGCGGGCAGACAAGCAGGCGGACTGGCTGGCTGGCTGACTTGAGGGAGGGGGTGCGCTTGGCTCGGCTGCTCCCAGGGACGGGAATACTCCCGGCTGCCGGCTGGGGAAGAGGCCACTTGGCAACCTCCCTCTCTGTCTCTGTCTCCTTGGGCCTCCTTGTCTCTCCATCTCACTGTCTTTTGTAGTCCGCCGCCGGCCATCCCGGCAGACAGCCGGCTCTGCACATCCTTCCAGCTCGGGCTGCCCACCCTGCGTCTCAGCTGGGCCCCTGCTCAGCCTGCCTGTCTCCCAGCCCCTACTTCTGCCCATCTCTGCTTCTTTAGAGGGCTCCCCTGCTGAATGTCTGTGTCTGTCTGTCTGCCAGAGGGGCCTGTCAGGCCACCGTCRAGGAGGCTGGGATAGCTCATCCTGCAGCCCAGACCTCCAGGGRTAGGCCCCTGGGAGTGAGAGGGAGCCTCACTAACTGCAGTGAGTGACTGCTGCCCACTGCCCCTATGCCTCCCACAGRGGGCTAGGGCCACGGATGCCCTGTCCACCATCCTCAGCGAGACCCTGCGAGGTTTGAGTCTCTCCTTGCAGGGATCCTCAGGCGCCTTACCGTTAGTGTAGCAGCCTCCAGAAGTTCTAGGGTGGCCCTGCCCCATTCCAGCCCAGGGTTGAGGGGAGAACTATCAGCTGCCCTGTCTCCTAGGCTCTAGGAAAGGAGATGACATCTCTTCCCTCCCTTTCTATCTTCTAGGTCTGATCTTGGGATCCCATTGTCTTTCAGAGACTCAACTTTTTTTTTTTTCCTTTTCATTCATTCATTCTTTCTTTTTATTGTTTTGGTGCTGSGGATTGAACCCCAGGAGGCTTTACCATTGAGCTACTTCACAAGTTCAAGAACAGCCTCAGCTACTTAGCAAGGCTCTAAACAACTTGAATAGAGTTTTTCCAGCCAAGAGCCCAGAGCCAGCTTCCTAGGGGAGCAAGTTTATGTCAGAGACATTAATAGGCTCCTTCTGTGACTGAGCAAGGGAAAACAGACTAAAATCCACAGCTCAGAATACAGGATAGGCAATGCAGCCAAGCCCTTGGCCCCTGCACAGAGGAGGGTGTCTGACACTGACCYAGAGGTCAAGGAGGGCTTCCTGGAGGAGGTAACTCCTGAGTTGACTTCTCTTGTCCCTCCTTTACAGAGAGGCATACTGCAGTCTGAGTACAAGGGATTAGTTATAGAGTCAGCTAGATCTGAATTTGAGCTACCCTCCAACCCCTTGCGCCAAGCCCTAGCAGTTTTAGCATAAGCGATACATTTATTTTATCTAGTTTATTTTATCAGTTTTCTACAGAAGAGACAGAGTGGCAGTGCTTTCAGCCAAGGACTGCAAGCAGCATTTACTAGGAGCTGGTTCTGGGCCTTGGTGGTCCCCACCCACCCTGGAAGAGCATTCTTGCCCCATTCCAGTAGGTGGCTGGGTGGGCGCTGGCTCTGGCCTGCCCTGCCCTCCTCTTCCCCAGGCAGTGTGTGGGGCTGAGCCTTTGTATTGGGAATGGAGTCAGGGGAGGCCAGGGCCCAGAGTCTGAAGCACACAGCCTTTTGTTCCAGGATAAAGGCCCTGTGGGCCCCTTTGTGTGGAGATTAGCGGAGCCCGTAGGTGTGTGAACGGCCTCTGCTCCTGCCTCATTAACCCAGGCCTGGGGTCAGCTGCTGACAGCCACCCCCAGCCTGCTGGACCTGACATCTTTGGGGCTGTGGCATTTCATGGCAGGGTCTCCTCTAGAGTCAGGGAGCTGGGGACTCCGGGGATTTGGAGAATGGTACCTGATGGGAATAGTACCTCATGTCATGGCTGTTTCTGGGTGATTTTATCTTCCTCCCCATCCTGAGATCAGCCCCTGACCTTTTTCTTCTATTGTTTTCCCAGAGACCCTCATGGACACAAAATGGGTGACGTCTGAGTTGGCATGGACATCTCATCCAGAAAGTGGGGTAGGACTTCCTTATCTCCCCTTAGTGTTTGTTGCCTAACGAGGCCACTGCCCTCCCCCACCTAGYATCCATGTCCCCTTCCAGCATCTGGAGAGGGGCTGCCTCTGCCCTCATCTGTCACCATCACCTTCTGTGACATCCCCATCCTCCTCATTTGTCACCTTCTGGGCCTTCTCTGTGGTTGCATCTCTCCTCTTTTGCCTGCCTGTGCCCTCCCCCATGCACTGTCTTTGTCCCATTGCCCCTCGGCCAGTCTTCAACCTGTTCCTTATGCCTTCCCCTCCCCCACCTGGCAGCCTTTCCTGATCATTTCCCTCCTTCTTGAGTCCCTGGAAAGAGTRATGGATGGCTTAGGGAACAGGAGATCTTGATTTCAGATTTCCAACTTGCTGTGTGACCCGTGAGCGGGGCAGTTGACTTTTCTGGGCCTCCATTTCTTCACTGTTAAATTTCTTCCCTGTTAAATAGGTCCACAGTATCCTAAWTAACTTCCCTGGATGGCCTTCATGGCTGGGCCAAGTCCTGGACCCCTGGGGTATGATGGCACTGTAGGCCCAGGAGTCACCAGCCCAACTGTGGCTTGAGCAAATCTCTCTGTCCCATGAGCCTTGACTTCCTTGTCTCTATAGCGAGGACAACAGATGTTCCTCCTCATGGAGTTCTTGTGAAGATTAAATGTGTTGGTAGTGGCCACAGCCAGGATCCATTGAATGCTTCCTCTGTCAGGCACTGTTAATAAGCCCGTTACATGTCTTGGGTGGTTTAATTCCTCATAGCCTCATTTAATTCCAATCAACCCCATTTTATAGGTGATGAAACTGAGGCCTAAAGATAATAAATATTATAGCTAATATTCATATGGTACTTACCAGTTCTCAGCCTTCTACTASATACTTGATTCAGTTAAAAACATTTATTCCATACACATTTTAGTTGTTCCCMTGTTGCAAATGGGGAAAACGAGGCACAGGGAGATGAAGTGACTTAGTCATATATCGAGCAAAAAGATGGGATTTGAACTCATAGTTTGTGCTCAGCCACTCACATGGAAGCATCTTTGTGAAGTCAAGGTAGCAGATTTGGGTATGTGGTAAGCATTTGGAAAATGTTGGTGCTCACTCTGTCTTTTTCATTTGGTCTGTGCCCAGTGGGAGGAGGTGAGTGGCTATGACGAGGCCATGAACCCCATCCGCACCTATCAGGTGTGCAACGTGCGTGAGTCRAGCCAGAACAATTGGCTTCGCACGGGATTCATCTGGAGGCGGGACGTGCAGCGGGTCTACGTGGAGCTCAAGTTCACTGTGCGTGACTGCAACAGCATCCCTAACATCCCTGGCTCCTGCAAGGAGACCTTCAACCTCTTCTATTATGAGGCTGACAGTGATGTGGCTTCAGCCTCCTCCCCGTTCTGGATGGAGAACCCTTATGTGAAAGTGGACACCATTGCACCGGATGAGAGCTTCTCACGGCTCGATTCGGGTCGAGTCAACACCAAGGTGCGCAGCTTTGGGCCGCTTTCCAAGGCYGGCTTCTACTTGGCCTTCCAGGACCAGGGTGCCTGCATGTCGCTCATCTCCGTGCGCGCCTTCTACAAGAAGTGTGCATCCACCACCGCAGGCTTCGCACTCTTCCCTGAGACCCTCACTGGGGCCGAGCCCACCTCGCTGGTCATTGCTCCTGGCACCTGCATCCCTAATGCTGTGGAGGTGTCGGTGCCCCTCAAGCTCTACTGCAATGGCGACGGGGAGTGGATGGTGCCTGTGGGCGCCTGCACCTGTGCCACTGGCCATGAGCCAGCTGCCAAGGAGTCCCAGTGCCGCCGTGAGTGGGGGCTGGCCCCGGGGAGGAGGGGCAGGGAGGGCTTGGCCACAGCCATACTTCCTAGCCAGTCTTYCTATCTGACTAGAAGACCTGGCTTCTTGTGTGAGGTGGAGAGAGGAAAGGAAAGAGTGGGTAGCAGATGTGGAGAATGTGGTGCAAGAAGAGAGATAGGAGAGAGAACGAGAAGAGAAAAAAGGAGGACTGRGGATGTARCTCAGTGGCAGAGCACTTACCTCGCATGCATGAGGCCCTGGGTTTGATACCCAGCACTGTGGGGGAAAAAAGAGAGAATGAAATTAGAGGAAGAGAGACAGAGAATCCTTGACAAGCAGGCATTTGGAGAACCTGGGCAGAGACTTGGGAGACTGGCAGAGGTGCCTGCTTTGTCCTAACCTCCATGTAGATTCACCCTGGAAATTCTAGATGGGCTTCAGAGCTGAGAGGAGAAGGGCTGTGGGCACCTCGTGCTTGACCCTCTTTTTTTATGGCTCATCTCCTTAAGAGGTGGTGTATATGGCACAATATCCAGGAGCTCAGCCCCTCAAGTCCTGAGTCCTGACTCTGTCATTTTCCTCCTATGTGACCTTGGGCAAGGTACTTAACTCTTTGAACCTTGGTTTCCTTGTGCAAAACAGAGGCCTGAGGACTCCTTGGCCCTGAGGATTCCTAGGGTTGTGGTGAGGGGTGAATGAGTGATCCTGCCCTGGCCTGTGATAAGCACAGACACCATTTCACTGGCCTCAGGAGCACAGGGACGCTTGGAAGACAGGGATTGTTCACTCCTTATTTTATGCACGAGGAGGTTAGGAGGCTAGCCAAGCCTCACAACCTTAGGCTTCCCAGTTATAAAACTTGTTCACGCGGAGCCCTCATTGACCCTCACCACAACCTCATAAGGTGGATTCCCATTATCTCCTCCTTCACCAACGAGGAAGTCAAGTCTCAGAGCAGTCTATACTGTAGGCCTCACAGCTCGGGAATATGGGTGCTGGCCCTGACGACCCTTCCAGGGCTGTGGCATGCAGGACAAGGTGCCCAAAGGCCTTGTCCTCCATTCCCTCTGCCCAACCCTCTTCCCTGGGGCTWGCAGTCATTGCTTGGAGGTGTGGGAGATGGCTCTTGCCATCGCCCTTGGTGTGAGGGGGCTGGGTRTGTGGACCTGGTTGTGAGGCCCGGGTTGGGGTTGTCCTCTGGGCCCCTCTCCACGACTCTATGGGAACCTGCCTGAGACTTCCTCTTCCAAAGTGGAGAAAGGGGGTGGGGGTGATGAGCCTGACAGCCTGAAGAGGGGCTAACACTCTGCAGGTCCCTGGCAGGAAATGCACGCTGGTTCCCATAGCAACCAGGCTGGCCTGGCCTCTGCCCCCTCCCCCACTGGCTCAAAGAGCTGGGATGGAATATCACCTTCGTGAGGGGAGATTAAGCCCCAGAGGAGGGCACAGCCCCGACTCCTGGCATTCTGTAGCAGACCCCCTGCCAGAGGTCATCATGTGGATAGGCTGATGGTGCACCTTAGTGTGTCCATTTAGCTTGGATCGTGTCCATCACACTAACATAATTATTCCTAGTGCCCCCTTTCACTGAAAATATTCCAATCTGAATAATAACTCACAGAGCAATCCCAGATATCAGAACTCTACAGCACTCATGTCCAGGGGACCAAGTATAAATGGCAGGAGAAGAGACAGGGAGAAGGGATGTTCAGGCTGTGGATTCACTTTGGGATTAGTCCCCTGGTGGAGGCCTCTGAACTCCAGGTGACCCCAGCCTTCCTGCCTGCTTTTTCCCCCCTCCTTTCCTCACCCCTCCTCAGCCATGCCCATCCCTGTCAGGGGCAGAAAGGAGTTGCTCCCCTGCCTCTGGAGGGTGGGGTAGAGGTCAGACTGGGCAGCCTCTACAGAAGAGGCCCTACCTACTTCTGGCAGTGGAAGGGTGGCCTTGAGGGTCCTCATAAGTGACTTTTCGAGAGCCTGGGGGGCATCTCAGCAGAGTACAGGGTGACAGAGTCCRCTGGTGGTCTCTTCCCCGTCCACCTCCTCTTCCTCTGCGCTCTCTGCCTTGCCTCGACAAGCCCAGGCTGTCCAGGTGATGGGGCTGACGTCTTCACGAGGCCCTGGGGTGGGGGTGAGGGGGGCAGGGGCGGGGAGGAATCCGCTGACGTGGGGTTTCCATGGTCCAAAGGGCCTTTTGTAGCTGAGCAGGAGCCAGGCAATCCCAGCATCGCCCCCACAGTCTAGGAGGTGGAGGGGCCAATACCTGGGCTGGGCAAGGGCCAGGTTCTCACGCATGTGTGGAGGCTTGGTGTCTTCAAGCAAGGGAGGTGACCATCCTTTCACCCACAGCCTGTCCCTCTGGGAGTTACAAGGCAAAGCAAGGAGAGGGGCCCTGCCTCCCCTGCCCCGCCAATAGCCGCACCACCTCCTCGGCCGCCAGCATCTGCACCTGCCACAATAACTTCTACCGTGCTGACTCGGACTCCGCAGACAGCGCCTGTACCAGTGAGTTGACGCAGGACCTGGATGTGCGGACCTGGTTGTGAGGCCCGGGTTGGGGTTGTCCTCTGGGCCCCTCTCCACGACTCTATGGGAACCTGCCCGAGACTTCCTCTTCCAAAGTGGAAAAAGGGGGTGGGGRTGATGAGCCTGACGGCCTGAAGAGGCTCTGTAGGCCTTCCTAGGGTCCTGCCTATAGCCCCATCTTCCAGATGGGGAAACCAAGGCTCAGAGGCTAGATGATGCAAGATGGCAAAGCTAGGAAATCCACTGGCTCATCCCTGTCACCACCATTTCACAAGCACCCTCTAGCTTCTAGCCAGGCGGGAGTGCACTAGTCCCTTGACCCTTCCTGTTGTAGGACTGCTTCTCTCTCAGCCCAACTCTAACCTCACAYCCTAGTGCAGGCTGGTATCCAGCTTTATCCTTGCTCTGGCTTTGGGGCTGCTGAGCATTGTGCTGGGTATGGGGGACATGGGAGAGTAAATGAACTCATAGAGGAACTCAGAACTGGGTGAGAGAAACAGATGTAAAAATAGGTAATGACCATATGTATAAGAGCTGGGCCAGAAAGTGGCCCAGGAATTGTGTTATGGGAGTACACAGGATGGGGAGTGGATGAATCAAGGAAGGCTTCCACGAGGAGGTGACGTTGCGTGGTGGAGTCTTGAAGGATGAACAAGAGTCTGCCCAGGGAAGAATTGTAGGAAGAGTATTCTGATTATAAAGCAGAGGCAGGACAAGTGTCTAGGGACATTGGGCTGAAGGGTACACCTAGGGTCCCCTGCTCACTGCTTTTTCTACTTGTCCCTCTAGCGGTGCCATCTCCACCCAGGGGTGTGATCTCCAATGTGAATGAGACCTCACTGATCCTTGAGTGGAGTGAGCCCCGGGACCTTGGTGGCCGGGATGACCTCTTGTATAATGTCATCTGCAAAAAGTGCCGTGGGGGTCCCGGGGTCGGGGGACCCTCAACCTGCTCACGCTGTGATGACAACGTGGAGTTTGTGCCTCGGCAGCTGGGCCTGACAGAGCGCCGGGTCCACATCAGCCATCTGCTGGCCCACACACGCTACACCTTTGAGGTGCAGGCGGTCAACGGTGTCTCTGGCAAGAGCCCTCTGCCACCCCGATTCGCAGCTGTGAATATCACCACCAACCAGGCTGGTGAGGAGGGAACACAGGAGGGTGGCCTGGGTCAACTTCCATTAGATAGAAGTGTGGTTGCCCAGGATCTGCCAAGGGGCCTCCAGGGGTTCCACGGGAACTGCATCCTGAGGGATGTCAGGACCCAAGGAACCCAGGGTGAGTGCCTGCTATTCCCTAGCTCCATCGGAGGTGCCTACGCTACGCCTGCACAGCAGCTCAGGGAGCAGCCTGACCCTGTCCTGGGCCCCTCCCGAGCGGCCCAATGGAGTCATCCTGGACTATGAGATGAAGTACTTCGAGAAGGTCAGGGCCTCCATGGGCAGGAAATGAAGTACTTTGTAGGTCAGGGCCTCCATGGGCAGGAGGTGACCTTGGGCTGAACTGAGCCAAGAAGTGTACCCCCCAGGTAGTGCAGGGGCCCTTGGGAGCAAAACCTCAAGTACTGAGGGAACCACATGGTGACCTGGGTGAGGACAGACCAGTTGGCCTCAGGACCCACCTGAGATTGCCTTCTTCCTCCTGCATTGCAGAGTGAAGGCATTGCCTCCACAGTGACCAGCCAGAAAAACTCGGTGCAGCTGGATGGGCTGCGGCCTGACGCGCGCTACGTGGTCCAGGTCCGTGCCCGGACTGTAGCTGGCTATGGGCAGTACAGCCGCCCAGCTGAGTTTGAGACCACGAGTGAAAGAGGTACCTTGCCCCCTGTGCCTGTCCCTGCTTTGGCCTGTCCTTTCCTGCCCTCCACTCATTCGCCCCTCCTTGGTCTCCAGGCTCTGGTGCCCAGCATCTCCAGGAGCAGCTTCCCCTCATTGTGGGCTCCGCGACTGCCGGGCTTGTCTTCGTGGTGGCCGTTGTGGTCATCGCTATTGTTTGCCTCAGGTACTCCCAGACCCGTGTTTGTTCCCACAGGTTGACTAGAGCTTCCCGTGAGCACTTTAGAGCCCTCCTGCCACATAGAATGACCACCACCTCCCTCCAGACCAGAGCCACAGCCTTCCTGGGCTCAGGTTCTCTCCCAGAAAGACCTGCCCCAGTCCATCCCATGCCATTCTCCTGTCCTATTCCCCCGCCCCCAGGGACTGAGCTCTGAGTCCCTGTCCAGAGACCCAGAGGTGGCTGTTACTACCAACCTTGGGACCAGGCACAGGGCCCTCTCTGGTGCACTCTGCCCTGTTAGAGAGCCCCCTGAACAAAGGGAGCTATGGGACTTGTCTCAGGCCTGCCTCTACCCTGTCCCTCCAGGAGACAGCGGCACAGCTCTGATTCGGAATACACGGAGAAGCTGCAGCAATACAGTGAGTGCCTCTTCCCTACCTCCTTGAGCTCTCTCAGCCCCGACAGGGCTTGCTCTTCCCTGCTTGTGACTTCATTGCTTATAATTGGGTGCCATTTCCTGACCCCTACCTCATTTCCAGGTACCCCGAGCATCCCTCTCTCATACTTGCTAGTCCCAAGGTTGAGAGAGATCTAACCCCTACACCAAAGGCAGTTAGTTCATTCTATGGGGAAAAGGAGGTGCTGTGTGTGTGCAGAGGAAACAATTAGAGAACAATTAAGTGTTAAGTTGGTTGTTCCTGTGGTCAAGGGCAGTAAGAGTTCAGAGAAGAGGAAGGCTTCCTGGAGGAGGTGGTGGAGTGAATAGCGTTGGAGAGGTGGGGAGAACATTCCTAGCCGGAGGAGCCTCTGGAAGGAAATGGGAGGGTGTGGGGAGGCCGCCTGGGAGCAGTGAGAAGCCTGCTTGACAGCTGCTGGAAGCCAGGCTGGAGAGTGAGGCCAGCCCTTGGAGGGTCGTGAAAGGCAGGCAGAGTTTGGGCTTGACTTCACCACAGGTAATTGGGAAGGCTCTTAAGCTGCGGAGGAAGACAATGGAGGTATTGTTTCAGGAAGATGCCAGGTAGCTTGGTGGGAAAAGTCCAGAGGCAGAGAGCCCAGCTGGGAGGCTATTGCAATAGTCTGAGTGTTGAAGGCTGGACAAGGTCAGGGCAGTGGGAACCCGGGAAGGGCTGAATCTGAGAGAGGTTTGGACATGATGAGAGATGAGGGAGGAGGCGACTAGGAGAAGAATCCTGGGTGTAAGGCTCTTGTGGTCCCTAAGTGTTCTCTTGTCTAGGGTAGGGAGGGAGGAGGGTCAGGGCATCAGCTGGGAACGGGGAGGGAGCTCAGTAGAGAGGTAGTGGCGCATGCTCCCTTGAGGCTCATAGTCTGGGCAGGGTCTCTGGACCTGAAGTTGAGGATTGAGCAGTTCCCTTCCCATACTTGGCCTGAAGCTCTATCACTCTCTCACGCCCACCTCTTCCCCCTCCAGTTGCTCCTGGAATGAAGGTTTATATTGACCCTTTTACCTACGAAGACCCCAATGAGGCTGTGCGGGAGTTTGCCAAAGAGATTGATGTGTCCTGCGTCAAAATCGAAGAGGTGATTGGAGCTGGTGAGTTCTCTGAGGCGGAGTGTAGATGAGAGACTGAAGAGGCTGGGTCATTCCTGGGATGATTCCAGAAGCAGCTTATGGCCTGCACCCTATCTCTTGCAGGGGAGTTTGGGGAAGTGTGCCGGGGTCGGCTGAAACAGCCTGGCCGCCGGGAGGTGTTTGTGGCCATCAAGACACTGAAGGTGGGCTACACTGAGAGGCAGCGGCGGGACTTCCTAAGTGAGGCTTCTATCATGGGCCAGTTCGACCATCCCAACATAATCCGGCTGGAGGGTGTAGTCACCAAAAGTCGGCCTGTCATGATCCTCACTGAGTTCATGGAGAACTGTGCACTGGACTCCTTCCTCCGGGTAAGAGCCAACCCCAGCCCCTCTCCTTTACCCCTCCAGAGAACTGGATCAGGCCAATTGCCACCTCCCACAAGTCAGAGAGACCCTATTCAAAGTCTACAAAAATTTATTGAGGTGGCATAGTGTAGGGAAATAGCCAGGCCTTCCGAGCCAGAACAATCGGAGGTCATATCCTGACTCTGCCTTTGATTGCTTGTGTGATCTGAGACAAGTCACTCAATCTTTCTGCCTCTCAGTTGCCTTGGTTATAAAATGGGAAGGGTAAAAGCTTCTGGGTCCTCATGAGGATTAAATGAGTTTTTGTGTACAAGATGCTTGATACATCTTGTATCAAGCTGCTCAATACTATGTACAGTCAGTACATTCTGGACATGTGTGCAGGTTAGATGAAGTATGATCTCTGAGGACTTAGAGAGGGCAGGTGACCAAGCAGGCAGGCCATGGGCCAGGAGAGAACCACAGGCCCACTGAGCCTGCTTGTTGTCCCCAGCTCAACGATGGACAGTTCACAGTCATCCAGCTGGTAGGCATGTTGCGGGGCATTGCTGCTGGCATGAAGTATCTGTCTGAGATGAACTATGTGCACCGAGACCTGGCTGCCCGCAACATCCTTGTCAACAGCAACCTGGTCTGCAAAGTCTCAGACTTTGGCCTCTCTCGCTTCCTGGAGGATGACCCTTCCGATCCCACCTACACCAGCTCCCTGGTACAGGAAGCAGCTGGGAGGGAATCTGGGGGTGGGCTCAACCAGGCAAGGGCTCAAGGCTGGGGGGCAGCCTCGAGTCACAGGGTGAAGGGCATGTGCCCCCCTCACCAGGGCGGGAAGATCCCCATCCGCTGGACTGCCCCAGAGGCAATAGCATATCGGAAGTTCACCTCTGCTAGTGATGTCTGGAGCTACGGAATTGTCATGTGGGAGGTCATGAGCTATGGAGAACGACCCTACTGGGACATGAGCAACCAGGATGTGAGTGGGGGACAAGCCAGAGTGGTCAGGTGGGTGGGAGCTGACTGGGGAGTGGAGTGGTGGCTTACTCTGGGTTTCCCTGCCCTTGGCCCAGGTCATCAATGCCGTGGAGCAGGATTATCGGCTGCCACCACCCATGGACTGCCCCACAGCACTGCACCAGCTTATGCTGGACTGCTGGGTGCGGGACCGGAACCTCAGGCCCAAATTCTCCCAGATCGTCAACACCCTGGACAAACTCATTCGCAATGCTGCCAGCCTCAAGGTCATCGCCAGTGCCCAGTCTGGGTCAGTACCTCCACTCTCCTCAAGCCAGGTGTCCTATCCTTGCATCTCCTGCTCTCAGGACTCACCAGGTCACTATCTTCTCCCACAGCATGTCACAGCCCCTCCTGGACCGCACAGTCCCAGATTACACAACCTTCACAACAGTCGGTGACTGGCTGGATGCCATCAAGATGGGGCGCTACAAGGAGAGCTTCGTCAGTGCGGGGTTTGCATCCTTTGACCTGGTGGCCCAGATGACTGCAGAGTAAGTGCACCTCTGATTTGGAAGGGCAAGGCAGAGGGCTCTGGGTTGGGCCCAGGGTGGCAGGCAAGAGGGAAGGGACTGACCTTGCCCTTACTCCATCTGCAGAGATCTGCTCCGGATTGGGGTCACCCTGGCTGGCCACCAGAAGAAAATCCTCAGCAGTATTCAGGACATGCGGCTGCAGATGAACCAGACACTGCCTGTGCAGGTCTGACACCCAGCTCCTACTGGGGGTGCCCCCCCAGGACTGCGCAGGGACTCCGACTAGCCAGCTGGACTTTTGGACTTTTGGATGCCTGGCCTTAGGCTGTGGCCCAGAAGATGGAAGTTTGGGGAAGGCCCAAGCTAGGACTTCTCCAGGCCTGTGCTCCCTCCCCAGGAAGTGTGCCCCAAACCTCTTCATATTGAAGATGGATTAGGAGAGGGGGTGATGACCCCTCCCCAGATGCCTCTGGGCCCAGGCCTTCCTGCTCTCCAGTAGGGGATCCCCACAACCTCAGACTTGGCTATTCTTCAGGCTGGAGGTCCTGGCAGGGTCAGGTGGGGGGGTAAGCCTGGGTTCCACAGGGCCCAGCCCTGGCAGGGTCTGGCCCCCCAGGTAGGCAGAGAATAGTCCCTCCCTCAGGAACTGGAGGAAGGGACTCCAGGAATGGGGAAATGTGACACCCATCCTAAAGCCAGCTGGCACCTCCAGTTTGCACAGGGACTTGTTCTGGGGGCTAAGGGCCCTGCCCCCACCCCCGCCCTTGGTGCTGTCATAAAAGGGCAGGCAGGGACAGGCAGAGGATCAGCCCCTTGCCCCCCAGAGACTGACTCTCAGAGCCAGAGATGGGATGTGTGTGTGTGTGTGTGTGTGTGTGTGTGTGTGTGTGTGCACGCACTGGCCTGCACAGAGAATATGGATGAGTGTGCAAAGCTTGGCCATGTGCCCCACGGGGGGCCAACTGGGCCAACAGCGGAATAAAGGCAATAAGATGATTCTCTTGCCCCTTCTCATTCCTTCTCCCAAAGCAAGATTCCTTAATTCCCTCCAGTTCCAAATCCCTGGCTTCTAATCCCTTCGCCATTCCCCCCAGTCTTGGGGAGACCAGATCCAGGCCTTTCCAAGCCCAGTTTCTTTTGCCTCGTTGTTTTGATCATCTAGCTGACTTCCCAGAAGTGGTGCAGAGGCCTGGAGGGCAAACTCCTTCAGAGCTGCACCTTCTAAGGCCCCGGCCTTCCTTGGGTGGGGCAGACACCTAAGTCTAGATGGTGTTTTACAGATTCCTCTCACACCCATTGTGGCTGAAGGAGTGGCCAGAAGGGGAGTGTGTTGATCAATTCCCAGGGTCACTGGCCAAGAACAAAGGGGAGTGAGCCACTGACATTCACAGGTGGAAAACAAGAAACCTGGCTATTCTTCATGGAGCACTGACTGTGCCCAGGCACAGGGCTAAATGCCCCAATTATACCCGGATCTTGTTTAATCTCACAACGATCCAGCCTGGGAAGGAAGTATTTTTGTCTCCTTTTTACAGAAGAGGAAAGGGAGAGGTTAAGTAACTTGTCAGAAGTCCCGAGCCAGTAAGTGAGATGGAGGCTGGGATTCCCACCGAGGCTGCCTGCTCACTTGAAAGGTTCAGGGATAAATAACAGAAGCCAGGAAGAGGGTTAGGAAAACAGTCTCGCGAAGCCAAAAGGAGAAAGCGTGGGGGCGGCCACCGGCCCCTTGGACCAACTAACAAAAGAAGGGGAGGCAGCTGCAGTCATCTCGGTGTCAGGAGGAGCCCTTGGACTGTATGTCTTGGTGGGCGTGGGAAGGTTTCCGAGATACCTGCATATCCTAAATTGGAGTGTCGCTGGGCGGGACCTGGTAGTCTTAGAGGCAGAGACACACGCTGCGCCACTTARGCGGGAGGTTCACTGTGGCGGCCCCGCCCATCTCCCCGGTCGCTTCCAGACAGAGCTTCCTGGGGAGATTCTAATTAGGGTGGCGGAGCCCTAAACCTCGAAACACACGATCGATCGCTCTTTCGGGTGCAAGAGACCAAGCCAATGAGGCCTCGCGGCGTCGCGATGTTGCGGGTTCTGTCCTGCCACGGGAGACGCGTCAGCCGGGTGACTGGTGGCGAGGGCTTGCCCGGCCGCCCCCGCCCCTAGGCAACCTTGCCGCGCGCTCTCGCAGCCGCCTCCTTAGCATTCCCCCCGCGGAGCCCAGCGCTGCGAGGCGGTGGCCGGCCCGGGGGAGGAGCCCAGTGGCTCGGCATCCCCCAGGCTCCGGGAGGGGGGATGGGCAGGAACCCTTCCGCGGAGGCCTCCTCCTTCTCCCAGTTGGGGACATGCAGGGCCGGAGGTCGCCCTTGGGCCCAGGCGCCGGAGCTGTCAACAGCTCGAGGTGTTTGCGGCTGCCTGGGGAGGGGACAAGGAGCTGAATGGCGTCCGGCACACCCCGCTGTGCATTTCCAGCTAAGGACTCAGATAAAGGGGAGAGGGTGCGCCCAGCTCCTGCTCCTGTCCAATCCCACTCCAGAGACTCAGGGCTAGGTGAAGGATCCGTGGCCCATTCTCCTAGGGTGACTCCATCACCGTCCTATCTCATTACTTGGACCATAGAGCGAGAATCTGGGTGCCAAGCGCGGAGATGCTGGGGCGAGGGTCTCTACGGGCAGAGGTGTGACATCGCCCCCTACTGGGTCCACAGGGAGGGCGGGATCGTGGTCGTTGAGCGCCATCTGAGGAGGGTGCCCAGGAGGGAGAAGTCTGGTTCGTGCTCCCCAGACTGAAGGTCTCGAGGGACATCTTGAGCCCAGACCCCGGGATGTATAGGTGCTCTGTGGATTTGTGCCCTGTAGGCACGCCATGTATCTCCTTCGTATGTGCAGTCGTCTGCCCTTTCATATGCACCCCTCTCCTGCCTCTTACCCGGAATCAGCAGCCAGGGGCACATACACTTAATCAACGAGCCCAGGACCACCTCTCTTACTCAGGCTCACTGTCCTCAATCACTCCACCACCCCCTCTGTCCCACCTCCCAATCCATGTATCCTGAGAATTTCCTGTGACAGAGAAAAGATGGGAGAAAGGATGCAAAGAAGGAAGGAGAAAAGCCATCTCCTAACTCTATAACCCAGGAGGGGTTATAGAGCAGAGGAAGAAAGAGAGCACCCGAGAAAGGTCTGGCTTTCCTGACAGCAGATAAGGGTGAAAGGGAATGAGGTTTTTGTCTGTCTAGTCTTGGTTAATTACATGCTCTGGGGGCAGAAAATTAAATCTCCTAAGTTAATGCTTAAAAAGGGAAGCCAGTGGGTGAGAGGAGGGTGTTAAGGGGGAGCTGCTCCTCTGCCTCCCTTCCCTCACTCCACCTGAGATCTAAACCTGGGTAGCCAGACCCTGGATTAGAACCAGGGAGATCTGGGGCAGCTGGGGTAATGCTGTAGGAAGGTTTGCAGATTTAGAGCACAGACAGACCTGGGTTCAAAGCCCAGCTCTGTTCTTTCTAATCTATGACCTTGCAGGTTGACCCCTCTGTCTCAATGCCTTCATCTATAAAAAGGTATAGTAATCATTTCTATCTCATGACACTGTTACCAGTGTTAAATCAGTTAATACATGTAAAGCATATGCCCAGATGGTAGTCAGTGCTTAAAAATGTTAGCTATTTTTTTATTAGCATGAACTTTAAACAAAATATAGAAACAGATAGGAAAATGCTGAAGAGCTTGGCATGTATTAAGAACCAAATAAACCAAGGCACTCAGAGGAATCTACAACCCCATTCAGGCCTCTGAAAGGGAGAGGTCAGGGGTTCCCTCTGAAAGGGAAGAGGGGGAGGAAACAAAAAGAGCAAAGAAATATGTCCCCCCCCCCATGGGGATGCTGGACATTTTGATGCCTGCTTAGCCCAGTTCCTAGGATAGAGCTGCTGGGGTCTGGGTGGTTTGAAGGCAATGAGAATTCTGAAGCTCATTAAGGGCAAGTTGCTGAAGGAATATTCACTCATCTCTGAAGAGATATTTACCAGACTTCTACTATGTGCTAGACACTGTCCTGGGCACTAGGAATACTGTGATGAGCAAGATGAGCTGATGCTTACAAGAGCTTAAAGTCTAACAGGGGACAGGGATGTGATTCAAATCATCATACAATGGCTTAAATATAATTACAAGTCAAAGTAAATGCTACAGCTGAAAAGTTGAGTCCTGTGGGACATGAACTAGTCTTGAATAGGGCTGGGGGCTCTGTAACCAGTTATCTGATGCCCAGCAGAGGGAGCTGAGGCCCCCATTACCATCAAGACCCCTTTTGGTGTCGGACCCTGCGCATATCTTCCTTCACTCCCTCACTCATTCATTTATTCAGCACATCTTCATTGGGCCCTTCTGAAAACCAGCTCCAGTGTAAGGAGCTGAGGACAAGGGGATGAGCCGGCTACACCACACACCTGGAGGTGTATGAGGTGCACAGCTCAGATGGGACATGGATTATAAAAACTAATACAGGTGCTATAAGGTAAGGACCTAGGTTAGGAATACTGTCAATTAAAGCTGCCTGAGAAGGTGACTCTTGGATTAAGCCTTGGAGTTGATGTTAGAGTTAGCAAAAGAGGATCAAGAGTAATATGCACAAGGCCCAGAGAACAGGAGAGCAGGGCAGGCTAGGTGTCTACATACCATAAGGATAAGGAAGGAACATGGCCCTTCCCTGTAATTCATCCCCAGCATGTCTTATATCCCTGAGCACCAGTCTTGGGCATCTAGTTCCAGCAGTTCTTCAATTCCAGAGAGTTATTTGGGCAATCTCTGTTACTGCTTTGATAGCACCCTGTCTTCTTCGTCCCTGCTGCATGGCACATTTGTCCATAGGGTTTCTGAGTACATGATGCTTTGAATTCCCCTTCCTGTAGAAGCACTCAGAGGATAAATGCCTTGCTAAGGTTAAAGAAGCAGCTTCTGGCAAAACTCAAATTCAAATTCAGCCTTACTTAGCCACAGCTCTGTGTCCTTCCCACTATATCAAGATAACCTGGAATGGGGCTCAGGGGAACCCAGAAGTGCTACACCAGAATGGCACACCCAGGCTCTTCCTTCCTGGGCCACTTCAGAATGATGCCCACCTGTAGGAATGGGCTCTGCACACATGTTCAAGGGCTGCCTCAGCTTTCCTCTTTCAAAAAGGAGGGGGGGGGGAAGAAGAGAAGAGGAGGGGAGGCGAGAGAGGGGAGAGGAGCTGGGAAGGCAGGTGCTAAAGGCACTTGTCAGGAGTGTAGCTCAGGAACTGCACAAGATTCTGACTTGGGAATGGGCGCCCAGGGCAGACAGGCTCTCACCCTCCACTTCCCTTCCCTGCCTTTCTCTGTTTCTCATTAATTATTCCCATCTCATGAAGCAGGAATGAAAACAGACTCAGGATCTTGCTGGAAGCATGCTGTGACATCAGTTCAGAGGTGGATGCCCTATCCCTGACTGCTGGGGGCTGAGGAAGACCCCCTTCCCTACTTTGCCCTGGCCTGACAAAGAAAGAGAGAGGCAGGATACAGCTCTTCCTGAACCCTTCTCCCTTTGGGGGGGGGGATGAATTTGGGGCAGATAAGAGAGGTGGTCCTTGACCAAGGGGACCAAGAAAGGGCATGTCAGTGGGAATGTGGGGGGTACTGGAGCTGGCTTTCCCCAAATCACCACCTCCCACACACTTTACCACTCCTTCCCTGACAGCCACCCCAGCACCACCCCCAGCCACTGCTCTCCAAACATCCTCTCCATTTACCATTTTTATTTTTTTTGATGGGGTGGCAGCTACTGAGAGTTGAACCCAGTGGTGCTTTACCACAGAGCTACATCCCCAGCCCTTTTTAGTTTATTTTTTAAAATTTTGAGGCAGGGTCTTGCTCAGTTGCTAAGGGTCTCACTAAATTACTGAGTCTGGCCTTGAACTTGTGATCCTCCTGCCTCAGCTTTCTGAGTTGCTTGGATCACAGGTGTGTACAACCCTGCAACCCTGAT